ATTGACATGATCATTTGGAGAAAAATATGCAAATTTTTGAGATAAAGCAAGAACAAGGCATTACATTTAAGATTAAAGTAAACCCTTCAATCAATTGTTATATGTAGGATGAGAGGGAGTAATATTTACCGAAAGAAATTTCTGGGTAAAAAACTTGAAACCTTGTCAAGTTTGTTACCCCAAAAAAACAGACACTGAGACTAATAATGCCATGTGGCTAAGAAATTCATAAGAAGAAAAGGTTTACTAATTTTCAAGCAGTTGATGGATGAGAATTACAGACAAACACACACATACACACACATTTTGATACATATAATCACTCATATCTTACAGAGTACATTAATTGCTTATGGTAGATGGTTGGTTCTGCAAAGTGATCTATGTCGGAATGTGAACGCGGTCCAATGCACTCTTCTTATCAAGTGAATTTGATTGATGAAGTTCATAGAATTGCCTATACGTCAATGAAGTGTAGGCCGGTGGGTGAGTTTCATTGACAAGCTCTGGTGCTGGGCCGACAAGTTGGTCAAATGATGGGCCATTTGCTGTCACCATTGATATCCTGGTAGCATTGCTGTACAGTACTGCTCTATGCACATTGCTCTTGTACTTCCCATTACTCACAATCTAAACCAAAAAATATCACACTAAGTTCAAGTCAAATATGAATGAACTATTAATTAAGTGTCTTAGATTTCAAGGGACTTTCATCATATTTGTCTTTTTTATATGTAATGAGTACAAGTTCTTGGGAGAACCATGCCCCAAACCTTTCCAATCAGGACCCTTGGCAACTAGCACTCTCTGATTAGCCGGGCGCACAAAGTCTTTTGGGGAATCACATCCTAAAAACTAGCTGTAGGAATTGTAGATCTCAAGGCCATATAAGGCCCCTACTTTAAGATACTTCGCGATATGGGACTCATGACAGTGTATTATATGTGTACAGATATTATGTGTATGTTGATGGTGATGATAGTAGCAAAAAGGTACCTCTAGAAGATCAGCAGTGTTAACCATTAGAGCATTGGGAGGAGCTTTCAGTTTGACCCAATTGCCATTGTGCAAAGTCTGAAGGCCATTGATGCCATTTTCTGAGAGTATAGTGAGGAAGCCATGATCAGAGTGAGGATGGATCCCCACAGCAAGTTCAGGCTCTGGGCATGGAGGGTACAGATTTGCAACGAACACTTGAAAGCTGGACTCCATATTCATAGCCTTACTTATGTAGTTTGGTTCCAATCCCAAACTTTCGGACACACCTTTCAATAATTCCCTTATGACTTCTCTGATTCTTTTGAAATACTCAAATGCAGCGTCACTGTAGCATCAAGAACTGATGTCAGAAGAGGGATGGCAGATTAAGAATACAAGATTAAAAAGAAAACCTAACTTTTGGATCTATTGTAATAAGATAACCAGTACAACATGGCAATGAAAATAATGATTTAAAAGTTGTAAATTCATATATGAATGATTACTGCTACTGATCAATAATACTACCTCCGGTCCTAAATATAAGAGCTAGTTGATTAATTTAATTAAATTAAGAAATTAAGTTAAGTTAGTTATTTGTAATAAATAGGTGTTGTCTTTTCTAAAATATCCTTACTAATCAAGTTTATTGGCTAGAACGACCATTGTTAAAAGGAATATAGTAGAAAAAAATGAATAAATATGAGAGACAAAGTAAGTTGGGGTCTTATATTTAGGACCAAAATAAAAGTCAAACAATATGTTATATTAAGGACTAGAGGGAGTATATCAATACATGATGTTGAATGTCCTTGAATGCTGTAGTGTCCATAAGTCATAAGCTCATCTCAAACTCAATGCATAAAAAGGGGGCCTACATCTAGCTAAAAGTTAAATTTTTTGGGTGGCATCTTGCATACCTAAATCCAGCAGGTTTATGGGGGAAATGGAAGTCTGGATGCACAAAGACTTTGAGAAAATCCCTCCAGCAGTGTACCTGTTCTACAGCAGTATTGAAACTAGAGCCATATCTTATAGGATCAAAAATGTGCTTCCCTTGAAACTCTTTCTTTTCCTCATCTGAAAGATCGAAAAATCCTTTCACCCCTTCCATCATGCTGTTTATCAGGCTTTCTGGCATACCATGATTGATCAACTACACAAAATGAACTTCAGTAATCAATTCTTTACGTAAATAGAAAAGTGAATTAACCAGAATAACATTCACATCAGTTTAATCTCCTCACACCAATTCAACTTCTCTCATTCTTTCAACTAATATTATCTCTTTATGCACATGCTTGTGCTAGTTTTCTAATTCAAGTGGTGAAAAAAATTAGTCTAAGGACCAATCTAATGCGCAAGTCATCTTTCCGGAGTTAACAAGTTGATACAGTGCAAAAGAGAAGAACAATTCTGTTTCTGCAAAAGCTAGTTAAGTCAGTGGAGTAGATTTTTTCCCCCCTTTTTTACCAGGAAGCAGCCCCATTCTTCACAAGCCTGGCCAAGATCTTGGATGGCTTTGCACCTTTGTTTGGGATTGCCGGAGGAAAGGAGAGAAAAGTCGATGATGGGAATTGCGTCTTCTGATGAGTCCAGAACTGAAAGATCATGAAGATTTTTTGAGGCAAAAGAGGAAGGTATAGAGTTGAGGCCAGATTCAGACAATGATTTGATAGTGACTGCTTTGGTTGAATGGACAGGAGGTTGTTCTGAGAAATCACTGGCAATAGTAATTGTTGCAGCCATGGATTTTTGGTAAGAGTAATGTCAGGGGCAAAGAGATGCAGAGAACCAAATAATAAGCCAGAGAATGAATTGGTGTGACGCTACTTGTAAGCGTTGACATCTTTGTATAGGCCTTGTGAAAGGATAAGGATGAGTGTAAAATAGACAAATTACAATTCAGAAAATCTTTGTGATGCAGCTACGGCCAGCTCCCAGGTGTATATTCATGCACTGTCTTGGGCCTTGCTGGGCTGATATTCAATGTAAAGACAAGGTGGGAACAGTAAGATTGTTTGGATAAAGTATAAGTGGACCATGTTCTGCTGCATGGTCAATACTGGAGGATTGACTTTTAGGGATGGCGGATTGAGAATATAAGACTAAAAGAAGGGGAAAAAACCCAGCTTTTGGATCTATTAAGAAAGCTAGAGTACACTGCTGCTTTATGCAGATTGTTCTTTTACTGTCCATTATCTAAACAAAACAGACCTTTAGAGAAATATGCTTCAAATGCTTATCTATTTCACCTGAAAATGGAGGGAGTGTGTGTGTGTGTTTGGAAGATGGACATAGGTAATTATGGCTTATTGAAAGCCTATTAACATAGCCTATCCTACACAACTTATCACCAAACTTTAGTATATTTAATGCGTTCTGATTTAATTCCTTCAGCTAAATCAAGAACGACATTCTAAAGGTCTGTGGAAAATTTTAATTTTAATTTTTGAAATATTTATAACTCGTTGATGAATGTCAGAATAATAGTAAATGTAAACAGTAAGATTTTGCTCTGTACATATTATAATTAAAAATTTGTAAGGGTATTTTGAGTTCCCCCCCCCCCCATTATCATAAAGAAGAAACGTAGATCAGGTTCTTGGAAAATGTGTGTAGTTCTATAAAAAAAAAAAGTGTGAAACAGGAACAAAATACTATATTTCTTGACAAAAATTGAAGCAAACATAGAACAATGTCTATGAAATTTCCCACAAAGTGACATTATTGCAGAAGTAGACAAGGCTGTAATGGTAAAATATGCAGATGATTTTTTTATCAAAAAAACAGAAATATGTTGATGAATCTTTTTTCTTAATCTGGATAATGCACCAAATAAATAGCGGAATAACCAAGGGCATCAAAATATAATATATGTTAAAATAAGAATAATTATGCTGTATTCCGATCTGTGCCCATGTCGTTGGCTTTTAGCTCAACAACAGGAAGTGTATATTCTGAAGAATCCAGAACTAAAATATCATGAAGATTTTTGCAGGCAAAAGAGGATGGCAAAGAAGTAAGGCCAGATTCAGACAAATAGAGACGGTAAGCTTTTCTGCATGAGGAGTACGTGGACGTTTTTTTCCTGCTACTATGTCCCTACTTCTAAATTGGCCTTTTCTCGCATGTTTAAAAGACAAATTTGCACTTCTGATAATGTTCTTATTTATATAGTACTACCTCCATTCCCAATTATAAGAGCTAGTTGATTAATTTGAGGAGATTAATGAAATAAGTTAAATCAGTTATTTGTAATAAATAAGTGTTATCTTTCCTAAAATATCCTTGCTAATCAAATGTACTGGCTAGAACTATTATTATTAGAAAGACTACTTTAGGAAAAATATATATAAATATGAAAGACAAAATAAATTGATATTTTATATTTAAGATCAAAATAAAAGTCAAACGAGATATTATATTAAAGTTCGAAAGTAGTACATGACAATCCAAAATATTTGCTTTCGTTCTCAACCATTATAACTTAGGTTTAATATATTTTATCTGGGAAATGATATAATAAATATTTAAAACTGTATTTCTTTGATGATTTTAATATTAACCTCAAATAAAAATTTCACTCTTATTAACTAAATTTTTTGTGTTCGTTGTCACTAGCATAGATATAATTAAGAGAGAATTATATCTAAAGATCACATTCACAAATCTTTTATTCTTAAAGACTGTTAGTAATTCTTACTCATTGTTTCACTAGTAAAACAAATGGTAAATATTGTTAAATATCTTCTCAATTATAAATTTGCTTTATGCGAATGATAAGTACTCATAGTTCAACTAGTAAATTTTAATTATGTGAGCAGTAAATTTGAGGGCCTTCTTAATAATTAACTTGTAAAAACAATTCCCCTGAGATTAACTATGGCGTTGAGGGCAAGTATATAATATAAATAATACGATTTTCACAATTGAACCCCATGAATTATCACAAACTAAAGCATTATTTTTTTGGTCCTAATACAACATCCAAAGCGTACGCTCAAAACAGAAGGCCTGAACACTTCCATAGACCCCAATGTCAATTTTGAAGACGCGCACTCACAATGACGTATGGGATTTCATTTCATTGACAAAAAAGCTTTGCTAATTCAGAATCAAACATATTTTATACAGAATGATTGATGCTTGGTTTGTGCAGAATGATCTAAGATGGAATGCGTAAATGGTCCAAGACAGTTTCCCTATCAAATGAGGTTGATTGTTGCAGCGCATAGAACTCTTTGTATGTTATTGAAGTGTAGGCTGGTGGGTGAGTTTCATCCACAAGCTCTGGTGCTGGGCTGATCAGTTGATCTGTAGATGGTCCATCTATGGTCACCATTGATGTCCTTGTAGTATTGATGTGCAATACTGCTCTGTGCACATTGCTCTTGTACTTCCCATTAGTCAGTATCTTCAAAAAACATACCAAAGGAAGTTCAAGTCAAATACATGGATTAGCCAGTAGGAGTCTCAGAATTCAAGAAACATCCAATATGTTTATTTTAGGCGTATTATATTGCATATTGTCATCATGATGGGAATGAGAGGAGAAGAATAGAACCTCTAGCAGATCCCCAGTGTTGACCATAAGAGCATTGGGAGGAGCATTCACTTTTACCCACTTGCTATTATGCAGAGTCTGAAGGCCACCACTGATATTTTCTGCGACTATAGTGAGCAAACCATGATCAGAGTGAGGAAGAAGCCCCAAAGCATGTTCTGGCTCTGGACATGGAGGGTACAGATTGGCAATGAAGACTTGGAAGCTTGATTCCCTATTCGTGGCCTTATATATGTAGTTTGGTTCTAATCCCAAACTTTCTGATACACCATTCAACAGTTCCCATGTGATTTCTCCCATTAATTTGAAGTACTCAAATGCAGTATCACTGTAGCATCAAGAAGTGATATCAGAAAATGGGATGGCAGATCAAGAATAGAAATTTAGAGAGCATCATGCATTTATATACCTAAACCCTGCCGGTTTATGAGGGAAGTGGAACTCAGGATGGACAAAGACTTTCAAAAAATCTCTCCAGCTTTTTACCTCTGTAGTATTATTCATGCTGGAGCCACACTTGATGGGGTCAGAAAGATGCTTCCCCTGAAACTCTCTCTTTTCTTCATCTGAAAGATTGAAAAATCCTTTTACCCCTTCCATCATTCTGTTTATCAGACTTACTGGGAAACTATGGTTGATCAGCTACAAAATCATGGAGTTCAGTACTCAATTCATGACATAGATAGAAGAGTGAATTATATATAATCTGGTCTGTAGATTTCTTACCAAGAAGCAGCCCCATTCTTCACAAGCTTGGCCAAGATCTTGGATGGCTTTGCACCTTTGTTGAGAATTAGAGGAGGCAAGGAGAGAGAAATCAATAATGGGAAATGAGTCTTCTGATGAGTCCAGGATTGGACGATCATTGATGTGTTTCCAGACATAAGAGGAAGGTAAAGAGGTAAGGCCAGATTCAGATAATGATTTGATAGTGGTTACTTTGGTTTGATGCGTAGAAGACTCTGCTGAGAAATCAGAAGTTGCTGCCGCCATGGATTTTGCAGAGGTGTAAGTAATGTGAGAAGCAAAGAATTCCCATTGCTTCTAATAAACAAATATATGTCATTTTTTTCATGTAAAGACAAGTGGGAACAGTAAGATATTGACATATTTCTGGTAATAGTAATATTGTAGTATTAGCTTTTGGTGTCATCTTTCAATCTGTGAAATTTTTTTGAATCAAACTCTTACTAGGATATTTCCTAGTGCAGCTGTTAATGCTATGACTTCTAAAGCAGATAACAACCTTAAACCTCTACTTAATCAAAATAAATCTATTTAGGTCCTTTCATTCTCAATTATTCCATTTTATTATGTTTCTTAAGTTTTGATTCTGTACATGAAAGTAAGCATCTTAAAAGCCAGTGTTGTTTTTCTCTTTATAATTTTCTCCATTTTACGGACAATCTGTGGTGTGTTTGAACTGCTTGAGCAATTTTCATAGGATAATTTTCCGGCTGCAACTTTTTCCTTTGGATGAGATAATTCTAGGTGACATGCTTCTGAAAATGGGTCAAGGCCTAGAAAACAAATGCTTCAAAGACAGTCATCCTCCTAAGCTATACACAAGGATAACCCTGCTCCTACCTAGTACCTAAACCAAACAAAAATCCCAGGCATTGTATGTCGTGGTTACATGTTACATACAGATGGAACCAATTCTTTCCACTTACAAGTAGCCCATAATTTACCATTCAGTATCAGAGGTAGTGAATAGACAATCCACTTATAATGCTTCAAGCAGAAACAATTGCACTGAGATATGCAGCTTGATCAATTTCACTGGTAATATAGAGTAATCAGTCAATTTTCAAAACAATGAAGAAAAATTTAAACTTTCTCGCATATAGTATCAATTTCTCAAGAAGGCCAAGAAAACCCATCCGATCAGGTGGTGAGAACTCTTAACAGAAAAATCACACATAGACACTACAGAACAACAATCACATCAATAAACAGAACTTCAAAATTGGATGATGAAGCCTAGCCGGCCAGGGGAAAGTGGTTTAATGAATCATTTTCTATGACGTAGTATTAAACAAAGTTGATTTTTTTAGCTGTGTGGTTGAGTTAGTTTGATCAATTTCACCGCTAATATAATACTTTAGCTCTTAATAACCACAAATTAATGATTAAGCTTTTATATTAAGGAGGCCAAAAGAATATTTAATATGATGACTCATTCGAATATCATCAATAACACTCCCAGATGTTTTATAGCATATGATGTGCTTGCTTTTATTTCGCTTACTAATGGGTAGCAGTTGAGACTAATTACAACATTAGCAATAAATGACGATATGGTCTACCATATTTCTGCTGCCACACACACACACACACACACACCCCTAAAATATCAGTAATTAATAAACCCTGGCCAGCTACTTTGTTAGTGGACTACTTCGGCCTATATATATATATATGCATATAAAGTTGAAGATTTAATTTGCATGAATGACACTATACGCGGCTTTACTGTTTCTGGGCACGTCGTATTTAATGCATAGCCCACATGTTCCACTCTTACACCGTAGCTTGATGCTGTATGTGCCACCTGCTTGGATGGACGCAATTGTTTGGTTTAATGAACCATGAAGATGCATGGACTATAATAAGACATGTAGTGCCACAGTGTTTAATAATGACTTACTCGTTTGATAATCTCATCTGTAAAATCTCTTTTATGTCTGTCTAAAGAAATTAAAGAAACATAGCACAGTAAAGAATTTTTCGATTTGGACATTGTTTTGCCCTGCAGTTTTGCCTGCTTAAGTCTAAACTCGATCTTTTTTGCCTTTGGGTGCAACAATAATATTGTAGGATTTGCTTTTGGTGTCATCTTTCAATCTGTGGAATTATTTAAATGAAACTCTTACGAGGATGTTTCCCATTGCAGCCGTTAATGCTATGACTTCTAAAGCAGATAACAACCTTAAACATCTGCTTAATCAAAATAAGTCTACATGGGTCCTTTCATTTCAGTTATTCCATTTTATTATGTTTCTTAAGTTTTGATTCTGTACATGAAATTAAGCATCTTAAAAGCCAGTTTTGTTTTTCTCTTTATAATTTTCCCTATCTTTCATATAATCTGTGGTATGTTTGAACTGTTTGAGCAATTTTCATAAGATGATTTTCCGGCTACAACTTTTTCCTTTGGATGAGAAAATTCTGGGTGATATGCTTATGAAAATGGGTCAAGTCCTAGAAGACAAATGCTTCAAGGACAGTCATCTTCCTAAGCTATACACAAGGATAACCCTGCTCCTACCTAGTACCTAAACCAAACAAAAATCCCAAACATTGTATGTCATGTTTACATGTTATATACGGCTGGAACGAACAACTTCTCACAAAACTCGTTGTTCTTTCCCCTTACAAGTAGCCCATTGTTTACTACTCAGCATCCGAGGTAGTGAACAGAGAATCCACTTATATTGCTTTAAGCAGACACAATTGCACTCTGAGATATGCAGCTCGATCACCTTCACTGGTAACATAGAGTAATCAGTCAATTTTCAGAACAATGAAGAAAAATTTAAACTCTCAAGAAGGCTAAGAAAACGCATCCGACCAGGTAGTGAGAATTCTAACAGCAAAATCATACCTAGATGCACAGTACTGAATAACAATCACATCAATAAATTACAGAACTTCAAAATTGGATGATGAAGCCTAGCCGGCCGGGGGTAAGGGGTTTAATTAATCATTTCCTATGACGTAGTATTAAACAAAAGTTGATTTTTTTTTTGGGGGGGGGGGTTGAGTTCAGTTTGATCAATTTCACCGCTTATTTAGGACTTTAGCTCTTAATATCCACAAACTAATGATTAAGCTTTTATATTAAGGAGGCGAAAAGAATATTTAATATGATGAGCCAGATTCGAATATTATCAATAACACTCCCAAATGCCTGGCAAAAAATAAAATAAAACAACACTCCCAAATGTTCTGTAGCACAAGTCCTAGTAGTGATGTCGCTGTGATGTGCTTGCTTTTATTTCGCTTATTAATAGGTTAGGTAGTACTTGAGGTTAATTGCAACACTAGCAATATAATAAATGACGATATGGCCTACCATACTTCTGATTCCACACATACATACATATATATGTATGTATATATTCCTACGAAATCAGTAATTAACAAGCCCTGGCTAGCTACTTTGTTAAAAGTGGACTACTTCAGCCGACATATATTTATATATAAAGCTGAAGATTTGATTTGCATGAATGACACTGTTCGTGGCTTTAGTGTTTCTGGACACGTCGTACAATGCAAAGTCCACGTTTCACTCTTACAACTGAGCTTAGTGCTGTATGTGCCACCTGCTCTGGATCGACACAGTTGACTGTGAATGAAGTTGTTTGGTTTAATTAACTGTGAATGAAGATGCATGGACTATTATTATAAGACAAGTAGTGCCAGAGTCTTTAATGACTTCCTCGTTTGATGATCTCACGTGAAAATCTCTTGTATTTATGTCTATTTGAAGAAATTAAAGAAACATAGTAAAGTGAAGAATATTTGTGAATTTGGACATTGTTTTGCACTGCAGTTTTGCTTGCTTAAGTCTAAACTCAATCCTTTGCGCCTTCTCGGTGCAATGTTGGAATGTCCGGAGAAAAGAATATTCCCAATAATCCAATCAAAACACAACTCGAAACATCACAGTGGTTACTCCAAGAGATAAGACACTGTTAGCTAGGGTTTTTAATACAAGAGCTAAATACTGTAAAATCAAAATAATTAGTTGAGTTGATTATTTATAATAAATATATATTGATTTTTTAAACTGTGATCTTTAACTATGTATATCAGAACCATCCTTGATTAAGAGCTGCACCTCAAAATATATGTAGGGCCTGTTTGAAATATAATAGCTTATAAGTAACTTTTTAATCTTGATTTATGGAATAAGTATATTAAAAATTTGTCTAGACTCACATGAAATTACTTATTATAAGCACTTAAAATAAGCAGATACAAACACGCCAATAATCAATAGGGAATCCTTTAGGCAAAAAAATTACTCCTCTCACTACAAAAAAAATATGCTTTTAGCGACGGAATTTTTTATTTAGCGACGGAAATTGTTTTGTCACTAATTCCTTTATCTCTAATTGATTAGCAACGGAATTTCTAATTTCTTTGTCGCTAATTTTTTACAGAAATTTGTGACGGAAAAATTCCGTCACTAATCCGTCGCTAACCTGATTTTTTAAAAAAACAAAAATAAAATGCCACGTGGCACCTCTACCAATTGTCACGTCATCACTAGGGACTACCTCCACGTGTCACTGCCACCTCACCTCTGCTTGCCATGTGTGCGCCACGTGTCGCCACCACATAATTTCCTCCTCAAAGTGACTTCTCCATGGCTTGCACTAGGGGTAGAAACAAGCCAGGCAGCCTGTCAGGGGCCTGCGGCCTGGCCTGTTTTACAGAAAAGACAGGCTCAGGCCTGTTTGAAGACTTGTTTAAGTTAACAAGCCAGGCTTAGGCCTTCTAAAAGGCCTATTAAGCCTGTTAGGCCGGCTTGGGCCTTTTAGAAATTTATAATTAGAATATATAAAAAAAATTAGTTAATGGTACTGTTAATATGCTCTTTAATTTATTTTTTAATTTTAATATATAGTTAATAGCTTAGTCCTTCCTTAGATTTTGAAATAAAAATTTAAAATAAAAATATCAATAAATAATATGATCTTTAAATCTTAAAAATATAAATAAAATAGGAAAGAAAAATTTTGTTCCAAGAATGATTGATTAATTAACTTATGTATTATGTTAATTAAATTATGATGCTCTCTTTATTCATTGTAAAATTAATAGTTTTTTCTCTTAATTTATTTGTCTTAATTTTTTTTTTGTACTTAAACATAGTTTTGTCCCAAATTTTAACATACAATTAGAACTAGTTTTCAATAATATCCTTATAAATTGTAATTAAGATTTAAAACAGTACTTATGATACTAAAATTTAAATAAAAGATAAGACTAAAAAATTAATTATTATGTATGCTTTTTTAATTTTAGCTTTTTCCTAAAAATATTATTGTAATTTGAATTTTTTTAAAATACAGGCTTTTTAACAAGCTTCAGACCAGGCCAAGCCTTTACACAGGCCAGGCTCAGGCTGAAGGATAAGCATATAATAGGCCACAAGCCAAGCTCAGGTCTATAAAGCAAGCCTAGCCTGTTAAGAGTAAGGCCTGACCTGCCTTGGTCTATTTTCACCCTTAGCTTGAACCTAGGACCTTCTCTGTGTGCACGTGTAGCTTTACTAGTTGAGCTGCAATGAACCTGTTGACTTATTATGTAAAATTATATATATATAAAATATTATTTTACAGAAAAAATTATATATACATATATATTATTAAAAACTAAAAATATACTATATGCTAATTTTAATCATAACTATTTTAATGAAAAAATAATTTTTAAATATTTGTTTTACTATTTTTTAAAAAATATTTTTAATATAATTTTAATTTCTAACGACACTAATTTTGAATTTTAAATCATAAATAATTTTTTATAAATATTTTTTAAGTTTTTTTAATTAACATTGATAAGATATACAATTTAATTAAAAGAAAATCATTTATAATTAGTCAAAAAATCTTGTTATTCAAAAAATAACTACTATAATAACATTTAATAAATTATTCTATATAAAAAATTAAATGATTTGAATAGATTGTGATAAACAGTATTCTCCTACTTGTATATATATCCTATGTAATTTATTTTCTTAAAATTTTTTGTATATACCATTTGTTTTTGTATTAAAGACTAAAATCAATATATATCATGAGTATTAATTATATTGTGATTAAATTTTATTGTTTAATGATTGAAATTCAAAATTCACTTTAATATTAGTTTGCATTCATATAAATTCATTTTTTGGTTTTGAATTTCTATCATATATTATATATTTCAATATATTTTACATATGATAAAATTATTTCTTTCTTAAATCAGTTTGTATAAGAAAGTTATTAATATTCTTATTATTTTTTTTAATTATTATTAATAATCAAGAGGAATTTATTTTAACAAAATATAAACAAGTTTTCTAAGAAATTATCTTTCTATTTTCAGTATATACATAATAATGACATGAATGATAATGATATCTTTATTAACACCAACTCCACAAATATATCAATTTATTTTATAATTAAAAATGTTTTTAAATCATTATATTCTTAATTGTTATTATATAAATTTTTGTAAGATTATAATTTAAAATAACAAAATTGAAAATTAGTGACGGATTAGTGACGGAATTGCAATAAAATAGAATTAGCGACGAAATTAGTGACAAAAACTTTTGTGACAAACAATTTAGCAACGGAAATTTCTGACGGAAAAAATTCCATCGCTAATTCTGTCGCTAAATATTTATTGACGGATTTTCTAACGGATTAGCGACGAAATTTGCGACGGAAAAAAATTCTATCGCTAATCTATCGAAAAAATTAGTGACCGAATTTCCATCGCAATTTCGTCAAAAATTAGCAACGAAATTTTTTTCTGTCGCAAATTAGCAATGAAATTTTTTTCTGTTGCTAATCAGCTATTTTTTTGTAGTGTCTGGTCCTTAATATAAGACCTATTTAACTAATTTGATTAGATTAAAAAATTTAGGTAAATTAATTAATTATAAGAAATATGACATGTTTCCTAAAACATCATAATCATCTTTCTTAATATTCTCCTTCCCTCTTTTACTTAATTATGGTTTAGGGAGTATGCATAAGGATAATTTAGAAAAAATTGATAAATATAATAAATAAGTCTTATATTTAGGACTAAAATCAATTCAATAATTAAGTCATATATTAAGGACCGGAGGAGTATAAATTTGGGAAACAAATTAAATTGAGATCTTATATTTAGAATAAAAGCGAACTCTTACTCTAACCGCTACATTAAGGTGGGGAGGTAGTACAATAATATGCTTCTTTGTTTTTTTACCAGTACAATAATATGCTTCTTCAACAAGAATAGGTCCTCGTTTTCATCTCCGAATAAGGTTCCTATAGTCGATGCTCTTAGGAGCCAGCTGTGTTGTTTTCTCCGTCCTCCTTCTCTATCCATCCACCTCTCCTTTTTGTAATTTTACATTTCCTACTTGCCATTAAGAAGAAGAGAAGCAACCCTAATCATCATCATCTTCAAAACACTACCAATGATGTGTTCTCTTCCTTCTTCACCGCCACCACCATCTGATAACAATTTCCATTCCGATCATATCTGCCTTGTGTTCTGCCCAAGAGAGCCAGCCTCAAATGGCAGCGTCACCAACTGGATAGAGCTTTTCAATCCATCCACCAACACTTGGACCCATGTCGGATCCATTCCCGGCCTCAGGGATGACCAAGTTTTAAAAGGCTTCGCTATGGTTTCGTTGGGAGACACTGTTTATATAATCGGCGGCCAAGTTTGTCACAAGGAGAGGGTCCACGTGTCCGATGACACAGCCGACTGGGTTGACGTGGGCATCCAGGTTGTACCTACGGTTCTACGTTACGACTTCCGAAGCAGCCAGTGGATGAGTTGTTCACCACTACGTGTGGCTAGGTATGACTTTGCATGCACAGTTTGTGAGGGTAAAATCTACGCGGCAGGGGGGAAGTCCACGCCGGCGTGCGCCCGCGGGATCTCGTCGGCCGAGATGTACGACCCGAACACCGACACGTGGACGCCCTTGCCGAATTTGCACATCTTGAGGTACAAGAGTGTGGGTGTGACGTGGCAAGGGAAAGTGCATATGATTGGAGGGTTTGCCGAGAGAGAGGACTCTGACCGGACGGTGCCGAGCCTCGTGGAGAGAAGCTCGGCTGAGGTGTACGACACGGAGGCGAACAGGTGGGAGCTGAAGGCGGGGATGTGGCAGTTAGATGTGCCACCTAATCAGATCGTGGCGGTGAATGAGATGCTTTTAAGCTCAGGAGACTGCTTAAATGCATGGAAAGGACAGATTGAAGCATTTGATGGGAGGCTTTGGAATGAAGTCGATGGGTCCCACAAGCCAAGTCTTTCAACGTTAGAGGCAGAACAGAGACGTTACCTAACAATGGCAGCCATAGGGAGGGAGTTGTATTTCCTGGGAGGGTATTACGGGAAAGGAAGAACGATGTGTATTGTTCATGTATTTGACACGTCAGCAACAACAGGGGAAGAAGCATGGAGGAGCTTTGAGCCGATGGAAATGGAGGGTGAGAGAGAGCTTTGCAGCCATTGCTGTGTTGTGAAGCTCTCCTGATGATGAGCTTATTGATGATCGAAGAAACTAATTAACACATTATATTTATCAATGCTTAATGCGATTAATCAATGCTTGGCGCCGTAATGTGAGTTTAAGCAACTATTTGTTTCAGTAAATTTTGAATTAACTAGTTGCATTAAATTTAACCACATAATTTTTTTCTTTAAAATTATGGATTCGTTGCCATTAACTTATCTTTATTACAGAGGTTGCCATGTCAAATTAATACTCCTCCGGTCTTTAATATAAGACCTAATTTTTGAATTAGTTTTGATTCTAAATATAAGACCTATTTCTTATATTTATCAATTTTCTCTAAATTATCTCTATGGATATTCTCTCAACCATAATCAAGTAGAAGAGAGAGCGAGGTATTAAGAAAGATGATTGTGGTGTTTTAGGAAAAAAGTGTTACTTTTCTTATAATTAACTAATTTACCTAACTTCCTTAATCTAATCAAATTAGTTAAATAAGTCTTATATTAAGAACTGGAAGAGTAGAAAACATCTCTTAACCTACATGGTATCCTAGCTATATGGTATCTTTGTGTAGTCTAATCATTTTATAATAATTATATATTGGAAAAACCCCGCCTTCAACATGCCCTTTAACCTTTTAATTCTTTGGGGGAAAAAAATCCCTCTCGTGCCTCAGATTATCAAAGTGAAGTGACCTTCCAGTCTTATTTTCTGTTTTGTCTTTTAAGGGGAAAAAACCTTATCTGTGTTTTCTGGATAACCATCAGATTTTTTTAAAAAAATGGACAGTGAAGGACTGTGATTTGTACGCAGTGTTTTTGTCAAGTTTCAACACCATTGTAGAAACCGACCAGTATAAAATGTGAGATTTTTTTGGGGGAAAAAGTTTTAAAGACTTTCTAGAGAGAGAGAGAGTGAAAAAGAGAGAGGAAAGATTAGATAAGATTACAAGAATGTGATGTGTGTTTTGTGAATAACCGTCAGATTTACAAATGGACGGTGACAAATCATGATCTGTGTGCGTTGTTTTCGTTTTAATGCCTTCTTACACAAGTGGTAAAACTAACCCATCTAAAATGTGAGTAAAATTTCTAAAAAAAAAATTTAGATTTTATACACCGATTACTTTTTCTTTTTAACGGCACAGAAGGCGAGTAAAATAATTACCACCTCCGATCCTAATTATAAGAACTAATTGACTAATTTGAAAAGATTAAGAAAAGAAGTTAAGTTAGTTATTCGTAATAAATATGTATTTTTTTCCTAAAATATCCTTACTAATCAAGTGTATTAGCTAGAAAAATTATTGTTAGAAAGATTATTTTAAAAAAAAATACATAAATATGATAGACAAAATAGGTTAGGGTCTTATATTTAGAATCAAAATAAAAGTCAAACAAGACCTTATATTAAGGATAAGAAGTAATATCTTCTAAAAAATTGACTTTCTACGCTGATTAAAATAGCTGGCATAAAAATTCTAATACAACAACAACTTATTAATAAAAATATCACCCCGCCTTTTTATCTTTTAACAATATTATTATATTAACTAGTGTTATCACGCTTCACTTGATTAGCTTGGTATATTTTCATTTGTTGGTGAAGTAAATGAGTCAATAATGAGTATGTCTAAGAAAATGGTTTTTGGTACTATATTATCCAATATCTATGGTGCTTTTGTGAATTCTATTATCAGGTACCCAAACAACAGACTAATTTAATTCAGGATTTGTGGTTGCCCGTTCTATCACATGTGTCTCTTCTAAAGCTCAAATCTGAAAACCAGAAGATCCAACAGGGTGTGCTGCCCCACCAACTTTGTGTTGGCCTATCAAGATAATGCTTGAGCTGACATGACTGAAAAATTAGTATTGAAATGGTTGTCGTGAAAGTTAAGGAACCAGATTTGGTTTTGAAAAGTTAGTTGTTTTTGCTGATGATATTTTTGGACTGCTCCGAGAACCTTTTTTAATATCTTGTCGGATAGTTATCATAACACTCCTTTCAGTCTAGCAAGAGGTTAAATTTAATCTTGAATACAAAATCTTACTTGATCTCCCCTATTTATTTTTAAATTACTTTATCTAACTTATAATGTTAAATAAGAATATTTTAAACAAAACGAATACCACATTAGCTAAGTTAACTAATTTTTCTCGTTTTCTTAATTTGCTAAAATTAATTAAATGGTTTTTATATTAAGGATGAAATGAGGTATTCAAGGTTATATTTAAGTATTACAAAGATTGATATGATATAACACCAAAAAATTTTCTGAGACTGTACAAGACAGAGAATTCACAAGCTATATTAGAGAACAGGGGAAAGACTTACAGAGCTTGTGCTTGAAGAACAGGGGAAACAAGAATGAAGAGAATCATTAACTGATAAAAAGATAGAGCAAAAAACAAGGAATATATGGAGATCAAAAGCATGATAAGACTGAGACGTTGAAGATAAAATCCTACTGAGATACTCAACAATGAAAAAGATGAGGAAACTGCTGATAAGAATTATGAAAAGTCACATACACAACAACACCACAGAGTAGCCTTATCTTATTAAGTGAAGTATGATCAATTAATGACAAATAGTGTTTCATATCTAAGAGAGAAAAATAGATGAAACTGCTAATGATTAAAAAAAGGGGAGGGAAAAAGAAAATTAAAGAGAACACAGCAGACCACTTGATTAAAATATCCAAAAAATTTAGTTACTGTTGAAATAAGACGTGTTGTAATGATTATTTTACTGATGTATCTTTCTTTTTCTTTTGTTTTGCCCGACAATCACGCTTGTGAAAATCTATGGTACGCTGAGTATGTAACCTTAGGGTGTTTCCTTCGGTTTCTGAATTTGAGCACACAAACTAAACTGTCAATGATATTTATTGAATTTGCCGGTTGAGATGCCTAACTTTTACCTAAGCATTTGACTTACACTCTCGTTTCATTTAATCTGATTGTTCTTGCTTCCAAAGAGTTTTGCCACTACCACAAGATTCCATTAAAAACATGACAATCACTAATAATCCTCCGCCGGAACATAATGTTTCATGCCTGGAGATCAAAACTTCGTGCCAGAAGATTCAAGAAACACTTTCAGGATACACAGTAGAATCATCACTTGGAGTTTGGAAAAATGGCTAATTAGAGTGTGAATTTTGGCTCTAGAAAACAAAGATAATCATGGAATTATATCATAAATTTAAACACAGCTCCATGAAACAAAATTTGGCAACGGTATTATAAACCTCACTTGTATGAGTAACTTTTGGTTTCTGCTATTATACACTTCAGCCATCATACGGGCTTAACTTGATGCGACAAGGAATAAGCTTACAACTTTAAATCTCTCATCTTGTTGAGAGTTTTAACACAGACATTTCAGTTTCTCGGTACATGTCTGGATTGAGGAACATCAACAACGAAAAATAAAACATTTCTGTAATTCTGTCCGCTTTTGTTTCATTTCTCTCTCATTCCAAGCATGTGCTGCGAGGAACTATACCTGACATGGAAGGCCAAAATCATCAAAAGCTTCTAATAGGAACACTTGGCTTCCTCTGGCTTCGACTGTACCAAGAATGTACAAGTTTCCCGTTGTAGGAACGAGATCTCTTCATTGAAGTGCCTGCAACAATCTGAAGAGACTTCATCCTGAAGGAAGAAGAACCACTTTTGGAAACCCTCTTTGAGGAAGATGAAGATGATCCTACTGAAGATACAGCAGTATTAGTAATAGCAAGAACACGATTGATCTTCTCTACAGCTGAAGAATCCAGAGACACAGATCTTCTTCTTGGCTGCAAATTCCCCACTTCCTCTTCATCTGCAGTTTCTCTCCTTCCCCCTCCTCCTTCTTCCTCATCTCTAGTTCTCAATTCACCATCACTGTTCTCCACAACCCCACTATTTTCACTTCCATTTTCAACTGTTTCCATCTGGCGTTCTTCTGAATCAGTCGAAGCAACAACATTTGGCTCCGGCGAGGCGAAAACCGTGGCGGGGTTTGTAACAATCGGAGCTCGGCACATGGGACAGTTGGTGTGAGATCGAAGCCAGGTATCAATACAGGGGAGATGAAAAGCGTGATTACACTTGGGCAAAAGCCTGAGATTCTCGTCTTCTTCAAACTCACTCAAACAAACAGAGCACTCTGTTCCTTCAATCAACCCTTCCCCTTTCTTATATTTACACACGGTAATCGCAGAAATGATCGATTGCTGAAGACCAGGGGTTCGAATATACCATATGGGATGGTCAACCACAGGGCCCTGTTCCTCATCGAGAAAATCCCCCCGCTGATCTTCCTCCGTCTCTGAATTCCTTCTCCTGAACCAGCCGGAGAGGAATCTCCGGTAGACGGCGAAGCAGAGGAGGGCGAAGAAAGCGGCGGCGAGAACAGCGATAACGACGGTCAACCAGGTGGAGATCTTGTGGTGGATTTTGTGGAGATCATCGTAATCGACATCGTCATCGACGGCCACGGGAGTAGGTGGGGGGTAGTAAATCGGAGGCTCGATGGAGCACTGGACTCGGCAAGACTTGCAATTGGAGGGTAAACAAGGAGGGGAATCTTTCATGTTGCAGTAAAGATAGCAGATTTCTTCGAGAATCTTCCGGTGACGGAGCCCCATGGTAGAGAGAAAGCATCAAAGAGGGCACATCAGTGGATTGAGGAAGACGGAGCTCTTGGTTTCGTTGAAAGGTAAGAACTTTGAAAATGGGGTGTCTGTGAGCGTTCTCGTAGTATTTGCGCGTTGATTGTTTGACTTTAAAGTTCGCTTGAGGTTTCATCTTCAATGGCGGCTGACGTCGGTGGATTTGGGCCCACTTGTCCTAATCTCTTTCTTCTCGGCCCAAATCCAAATGCTATATTGCCACCTAAAAGTGATTTTTCTTTTCTGGCCCCTTACGTTTTAAGCCTATTCACCGTTATCATGTGAGGGTTTGGCATTCTATAGGAGTAATTAAAAAAAAAAAATTCAAGCAAATTGAGATGAAATTATTCTTATATATTTGTCTTAAACTTTATAAAATAACTTCTAAAAAACTAATCCAAACACAGCACAGAGTAACCAAAGAGTAGAGTCTAATGGAAGAAATTAACCCCCCATAACTAATATTCGAATCTCTAATAAGAAAAATATTTAATGAGTATGATTTAAAAATTTGAAATAGTGGGGTTAAAAGTTTTAAATTAATTTTTTTTTACTCTTTTAACTTACATCTTCTCCTTATTAAAATTTTATAACCCTTTTTTTTAAAATTGAACTCATTAAAAAAAATTTTAATTTCCCTTCGTTTCCCTCATACCTGAGTGGCCCTAATCTTGTGTATATCTCAACTTGTGTGCCTCTAAGGTTAATTATAAATTTATAATGAACATAGTTTAATTATTTAAAGAAATCAAATTAATCATATGTTTCAAAACAAAGTAAATTTTTAAAGACTTTAGAAAAGGTTGAAGTTTATTTACTATCATGGAAACTTCTTCTTGTCCTTGATACATGAACTAAACAATTAATTTGTAAGTATTTAAAAATTAATTAAATTAATTATTCGTGTATTTACTTTTTTTAAATATCTTTTTTAATCATTTGCTTTGGAACTTGGTAGATGCCCTTTAGTATGAGTAACGAATAAGAATAGTCCGATAAAAAAATATTACTACATCTCATTTTGAATATAAGAGTTAATTTGTATCTACACTACAAACTAACTATTATATTTAAGACCGGAGATAACACAAAATTTGCAAGATGAAATAAATTAAATTTTTAATTTAGAATCAAAATAGACCTCCTAACTAATTTCCATATTTAAAATAAGAATTAGTGTATTAAAAAATATGAGACGGTGCAATTCACTCAAAAAGCCTTTGTAGGTAAGAATTAATTACTTGACAAGTGCTAATCTTTCTTTTTAATCCTAACAAGTTTTAATCCTCTATTGATTACTGAATAATTCAACGTAGTGGTTGGGAAGGGAAGCTCATCCCAAAGTTCATAAATCAATTAAAAAATTAATTGTGTGGAAAGAAAAGTAAATGCATTTTCTTAGTGAGACAAAAATTGAGAAAATGTCAAAAGATGTACGCCACTTGAATTTATATATATGTACACACACACACACACATATATATATAAACATTGGATGATAGTGATGGAAACAAGACTTTTTCACAAACACTTGGAAGAAGAAGCAAAGTTGAACGTTTGAGTGCTCCAAAAACAAGTGACAGAAAACTATAAATAAATTAGAACCACAAAGTGTTTGTCGTTGGTGAATTGGTGAGATGTATTGTGTAAAACGATAAGGTTCTCTAATGTGTCCCGCGGAACATATGCATTTGACTTTCTCAAACTTTCATTTTAATTTAATAATAATACATGTACCTATGATGTAGATTGATAATGATGAATCTTTGTCGGTGTTTACAAATTATTATTGCATATAGCTTAAGTGATTGTCATGAGCTGTTTACAACTACAAAGGAGTTATGAAGTGTCCTTGTACTTTTATGAAATTCGTTGGGACTTTCTAACCATTTTTTAAAGGTTTTTCTTTTTTAGGTGTAAGATTGTGAAATTGACCCCTCTTTAATTATCATGAATGTTTGAGTTTCTTCTGATAGGTGAAGAGCAATACAAAAAAAACAGAAGATTTTTATGAAATCTGTCTATAAATGAGTATTTACAATTTCCTTTTAACGATTGCTCAATTAATAATATTTTTAGTTTTGATTATACACTCTCTTCTATGTCTAATATGGGAACCCTAAATAGTAAATATAAGATTCTAAGATACTTTATTTTTATATTTATTATTATTTTCTAAATTAATTAACTTAAATAATAAACTGAAACGTAATTTAATATTACTCTACTCAAGAATATTTCAAGAAAAATTATTTCATATTTATTATAACGAAAGAGTTTCTTTAATTGCATTAATTTATCCAATTAAATAAGCATCCCTTTTACTAACCACCGTAATGAGTATATAATACTCTATAAAGGAGACTTCATGTTTAAAAAATAAAGAGAAAACCATTTTTTATGGTTAATTTTTTTAAAAAAAAATTGTCTTCAAATAGTAAAACTGAAAAAGAGGGAATCTTGGAAAAATCAACGATTTTTTTGCCTAGAATAATCAATTATTAATTCATGAAAACGACAATTTTATTAAAAAATTCAACTTTATCCTAAAAATGTAAGGCTTCACATAATAATGTGTATTAAAACACATACAAAAGGGTTTTAAATAAAATAATCATGTGAAAATTTTAAGGGTAAAGAGTGCCGCAAAGAGAGACCAAAAAAAAAATGCACATCTTAATTTGATTGAAAAAATACATTAAATATATAACTTCAAGCTTTTCCTTGTCACAAATTAATTGCATATAATCTACTTAAAAAATTATTGCCTTAAGTCCTTAATATAAGATCTCATTTAACTTTTATTTTGGTCCTAATTATAAGACCCTAATCCACTTTGTCTTCTGTATTTGTATATTTTTTTCAAGGTAATCCATCTAATAATAGTAGTTCTAGCCAATAAATTTGATTAACAAAGACATTTTAGGAAAGACAACACCTATTTATTACAAATAACTAACTTAACTTATTTCTTTAATCTCTTCAAATTAGTCAACTAGCTCTTATAATTAGAATCGGAGGTAATATCAAAGAAGAAGGCTATGAATGTAAGAAAGAGGAATATATACTACCTTCGGTTCTAATTATAAGAGCTAGTTGACTCATTTGAGAAGATTAAGAAAATAAGTAAATTTGGTTATTTGTAATAAATAGGTGTTGTCTTTCTTAAAATATCTTTGCTAATCAAATGTATTGGTTAGAACTATCATTATTAGAAGGACTAACTTGAAAAAAAAAAATATGAGAGACAAAATAGATTGGAGTCTTATAATTATGATTAAAATAAAAATGAAATGAGGTCTTGGATCAAGAACCAGAGGTAGTATTTATTTAATTACCAGTCCTACATCATTCTCTCTCCGATTACATTATCCGCAAAATTATAGCTGACTTTAAATACAAGACCCTGTGTGTGTAGAGGCTCCTCATCGTTGGACTTCGCTAGGCCTAAACCCAAGTTTTCTGGGCCTTGGAGTCACTTGGACCAAACCCAAAAACATCAGGCCTAAAGAAAATGAGGGGCCCATTTTTGAGTTCAGGCCCAAGCCCAAATGAGAAAATCAATTGCACAAACAAAAAACTTAGAGGGCGTTTGGGTAGAAACAAAACCATGATTTTAAAAATATTTTTACAATATTTAAAGTAAATATGTGAATGAATTTGTCTCAATTTGTAGAAAAAATGCTTTTTAAAAGTGATTATTGAGCAATCCAAATACTCATTTAGTACATAGATGTTACTCTTTCCACCAAAAGAAAAGGTAAAACTCATCCATTTCATGTGTCTCTTGAATGACTTAAGAATAAACTACTTTGTTTGACCAATCATATGAACGAACAAATCAACAAGGAAACGAGAGTCGGGAAGTTTGAGATTGGCTTGCCTTCAAACCCAGAAGGTTGTAACTTACAAGGAAACACAAATGACGGGTCGCTTAACGTTTGCTTTGCTTGGAGTAACCAAATTCATATCAGGAAAAAGAAAAAAATCCCACCTGTTTTTCCTCCCTAATTTCCCTCCTTTTTCCTTCATTTTCTAGTCAGATAAACACAAAAGTTGGAATCTTTATAAGCTGATGATTCGATTCTGACTTCTGTCACAGACATCCCCCGTTCGTCTTTTTCTCCTCTTACCTCGAACACCGTGAAGAAGAAATCAAAGTGATGCTGACCATATCATCCAGAGGTTCCTGGCTGAATCAGAATTTCAGACATGTTCTTCAGATTCTAAGCACCACAAGAAACAGCAGATTTGAATCCAACTATGAAAGATTTCAAAGAAGCAGTTTAATAATATCAGGATCAAAATTTGGAAGTGGGTATTGGATGCATCCTGGTGTTAACTTTTTCAGCACCAACAGAAGCACAAGTTCTGATTCAAATGGGTAAAAAAGGATATTCACCAAAGTTTTTGATTTTGTTTTGTCACCTCCAGATAAATCTGAATCTTGAGTCTCTGTTCTGAATTTGAAGGGCAAAGAGTGTCAACGTTCAACCACCAGTGACTTCTTCTGCAAGCTTCAGGTTCTCCGGCTGGTATTGAATTTCTGAAAGAAAAGACTAGTTCATTACTTGAATCTGTGAATGTTATGTTATGATTATGGATACAGGAATATAATCATTTGGTTGTATTTAATTCATAAACTTGCAGGCTGAGATGGGTTTTTGGTTCTGTGCTTTCCTTCTTGCTAGCTCTCAGTAATAATTGGCAAAAACTGAGAAGAATAGAAGGTATACTTTGCTTTTACATTTTCTTACATTCATCCCCTCAATGCCTGGCTTTTGGATTATCTTATGTCACAAAATAGCAGTCATTCTTTTTAAGTAACTGCACCCATTTCTTTATGTATTATACAAAATTTGATGAATGAGACTTATTGTATTTATAACTATGCATATAAATATGGATTCTATCACTTTACAATATGGATTGATTTGAAGAATATAAATGGTTAAGTTGGGCACTTTGCAACATGGCAGTGCTACAAAGAGAGAGATAAATATATGGGATATGCAACATATAGGGTCTACTCA